AAGCACGGGAGGCAGATTCGGGAGCTGGCGAGTGGCACTCAGCCCTCACCATGAGGACACAGTGGTCACAGCACTCGACCCTCCTGTGACCTTCCCACACGTGCTCATTCGAGTCCTCAGTAGCTCGCTGAGGTTAACATCTGTTAACAACCCTTTTCACAGCTGACAAGGCTCCAGCTCAGAGACTAAGCAACTTCCCAGGGCCCTGAGCTACGAAGCAGCAGCTGGCAGCGTCTCAATGCTGGAGTAACAGCCACCGACAACACACCCACTCCAGCGTTGCCATGTGAGCACACACACTCACGGAGCACGAGGACGAGGCCGCCATCCTTCCCGCTTCCGAGAGCGGACCGAGATGCACACGTAACTACACCGGGGTGGGCACGCTGGGATTCAAACCCAGGCCTACCTGCCTCCTATGCACTAGCCCGGCCATCCCTCCAAACTGCACCTTAAATGCAAAACCCAACCCATGTGCGTGACCACACTGCGGAAAAAGACGTCTTTCAACATCTCAGGTCTGGCCTTGGCTTGGCCTCAAACCCACCCTAGGTTCAAACACTATGCTTTGTCCTCCTCATTTTCAGACCAGGAGTTGCTTGGAAGGAAAAAAGCAGTTTAAGGAGCACAGGCCATTCCTCATTGACAGCTCATTCAAAAATCTATATTTCCTCTGCTTGAGCACGGCATGGGAGCTGGGCTAGGGTGTTACCTGGTTCAGAGTCCCTTGGTGCTGGGGTGCGGATGGCTGCTGGGGTGTGGCTGAGCCATAGGAGCTGGCCATCCCATACTGGGAAGGGGAGCCGTAGCTCTGGTACATGCTCTGCAAAGGTGCAGGGAGGGAGGGTTTAGTGGGAGGCCTGCCCTTTCCACTTCCCCAGCCCGCTCAGGAACTACACCAGCCATGGCCCTCTACCGATCCCTCACCCCTTTCTCTCTCCACTATATTAATGCACCACACCCTCTCATATACTAAAAAAAGAAAAACCTCTATCAATCCCGCATCTCACTTAGCTAGTTCTCAGAAAAATATAATCAACAATACTGAGTGCCAACTTTTCTAAGCACCACGACGAACAGTAAGAAGGAAAACCCACGAACTAATGAAGCTTGTGCTTGAATTACATGCCCGGCTGTAGACATCAATATATAACATATCCAGCAATAAGAATCATGAACAATAAAAAGGCAAAGAAAGGGAGAGAGACAGGCTGCAAGGCAGGAATGCTACTTTCAATCAGTGTGTCAGGTAGAGGCTCTCTGAAGGCGGCATCTGAGCAGAGACCTCCAAGAGGTGGCAACACAGGGAGCACTGCAGCCAGGGCAAAGCAAGAGTGGGCCTGGCGGGGGCGAGCATCAAGGAGGTCTCCGCTTTGATGGCCATGGCAGAATAAGCATGAGGAGAGAAGGGACCAGAACCAGGTACGTAGGACCTTGTGGCTCAAGGTGGGGACCCTGGAATGCACCTCATGGGCAAGTAGAGGGTTTCTGAGCAGTCATCACCGCTATCTCCAGTCCATCCACCACCGGGCCCCATCCCGGCAGACTCCGCCCCACCCCGCCCCGCCGGCTGGGCACTCACCATGGGATAGTAGTAGCTGTAGGGGTAGGCATAGTTGTACTGCTGGTACCACTGGTAGTACTGCTGCTGCTGCAAAGCTGAGGCTTCTGCCTGGGACACGTACTGTGGAGACAGAGAGGCACACGTGCCGTCAGCAGCCCAAATCCACAGGCGGCCCCCAAAGCGCAAGCCTGTTGTTTACTGGTGGGTAATTGCCAAGGGATGAAACTGGGTTCATGTATCTGCAAAGCGAGCCACCGTCTCCACCATGAGACTCACGGACGTTAGAGACCAGGGACATGGGCATGGCCTCCCTCTTCAGAACCACATCACACCCTAGATTCAAGGAAACAGAACTTTTCCGTTCAGACTTAGATACCCTGGAACATCTTTTTATGTTTCCCCTCAGAGCACCCCGTCCGAATGATACAAGAGGACGCCAGACTGTCTCTCTCCCACGACCACTGGCTCAGGGTACCCCAGCCCCATGTCCTTCTCACTTGTGCACTGGCCACAGGCCCATTGCTGCTGGACTTGGCAGAGCTGCCGGCGGCTCCTGACTTGCTGATGCTGGCCAGGGCCTGGCGGGCCTTCTCCCACTCCGGGTTCTCGTGCATTGGCGTCTCCATACCATTCTCTCGGCCTGCCCCAGCCACCATGCTGTACTGAGAAGACCTGCAGAGAGAGGACCTCAAGTCACACCTGTTCTCCCCACTGTACACAGGTGGGCAAGTTGGGAGGCAAATTCCAGTCCCTGGATCCCAAATCTAACTGTTACTACCTATCTAAGCCTATGTTTTCTAATCTGTACTATGCTGATAAAGGGTTTCTGCTTCAGAGTCTTCTGGGAGTGATAAATGAGATCACCCACTTAAGGTACTTATCCCAGAGCCTGGCACACAGGAGTTGTTAAAACCAAACAAACGAAACAATTAACAGAACCCACAGAACTGAACACAGGCCCTGGCACCTCCTAGGGCTATGTCTTTCATGAATCAATGAATTCCATCTGACATCACCCCAGTCAGCAGGTTATCACACTATTTTGAGAAAAAATAAGGAATTTCCAGAAAAACAAATAAATGAGTATCTATTGAGTGTTGGGAACCTGCCTCCTAATTATACTTGCTTGAATGAATCATCACAATTCTGCAAAGCAAGCACGGTACTGTGAAAAATGAAAGCTCAAAGAGGTAAGGCTTGCCCCTCTCCACACAACCAAATGCTTCCCTCTGTGTTTGCCTCACCACCACCCCCAATCACAGGGATTGTGGCATCACTTCCCCTAAGGCCACGTGAGGTCCCACCCCAGAGGATAGCACTGGGTCTTGCTTCCTCTTTCCCTCTCGACCGGCCTCCATCCCTCTTGCCACACTAACCAATCTGTGCTACGTTGATCACCCACGTTGGCCGCCATCTGGACCTTGGGGTATAAGGGGTGGACCTCGGGAGCCAGACTGCTTTTTCACTGTCTATGAGAAAAAGAATGAGTTAGGGAGACTTAAGGGGGAGCTAAAAACATGTCACAAAGTGGGGAGGAACAGTAGATGGACTCACGAGAAGCCAAGTAGAAAATGGGAGGCTGACAGAGAAGCCACTGGGGTCAAGGATCTGAAGAGTTCTGGGTGTGGACTAAAAAGGCTGGAGTATGAGGAGAAGCCCCTGGCCACTTTGTAGTGCTCCAGGTGGAAAACGAAGGATTTGGAAACAGGGAAGCCAGAACAGACTTCCCAAAGGGAAGGAGAAGGGTCTGAAATCCATGTGAGCAAAGAGAGGGTGTGATGAAAGGTCGAGAGGGTGGGAGTGCCTCCACCAAGGGGAAAAGTTCTAAAAAAAATTCTAGGGGCCAGGTGTGGTGGCTCACGCCTGTAATCCCAGCACTTTGGGAGGCTGAGGCAGGCGGGTCACCTGAGGTCGGGAGTTCGAGACCAGCCTAACCAACATGGAGTAACCCCGTCTCTACTAAAAATACAAAATTAGTTGGGCATGGTGGCACATGCTTGTAATCCCAGCTACTAGGGAGGCTGAGGCAGGAGAATCGCTTGAACACGGGAGGCGGAGGACGGTGAGTTGAGATTGCGCTCCACTGCTCTTCAGCCTGGGCAGCAAGAGTGAAACTCTGTCTCCAAAAAAAAAAAAAAAAATAGAAAAAATTCTAGGGAATACGGGTTGTGAAAGGAACCTGAACCAAGAGAATGGATGCTATAATGAGAAGAGTCTGAGGGAACCCTTAAGGCTGAGAGGGTGGAAAGGTTTCTGAGAACCCTAAAAAAGACAATGCCGACGTGAACCCCAACGTGAAGAAATGGGTTCTTAGCACTGAGAGACTGATTTCAAACAGGTCTCTGAAGGGCTGTAAAGAGACCGAGGTGGGAGTCCTCAGTGGGACTACCCCTGCCTGCTTCCACGGGAGGTTCCCGGAAGCAGGGGTAGGGCTGGGAGAGAAAAGGGATCACCTTGGTTGGGTGTCTGGACATAAAGCTTTGGGAATGCCAAAGAAGACCCAAAACATGTTCAATGAATTAAGAGTGGGGTAGAGAGAACTAGAAGAAAAGTGGAGTGTCTCCGGGGCGAGGACGGCGAAGCCTAAACTCCCGAGAGGGAGTAACCGATAAGTAAGATAATGAATCCCGCAGGAGAACCGGAATTCTCCCAAGTCGACGGGATAGGAACAGAAGTCTGGAGCTGGGGAAAAGCCCTAGAAACGCAAAGGCTTAACTTAAACAGGACACAGGGCGTGAGTGGAGACGAGGGATCTGGCGGGGACACAGGAAAAGGCGCCCCCGGGCAGAACGGAGATCAGAAATAAGGTCAGGAGTTGGGGGCTGGGGAGAGGACTCCCCGACGGGTCTCAAGAACGGGGACAGGCACCAGACGTGAGGCCTGGGGTCCCGGGAGCACCTGGCCGTCCCGCAGGCTGGGCGAAGGCAAAGGAGGACGCCGGGTGGAAGAGGCCGCCCGGATCCCCAAGACTGGCCACGGAGCCACTGCCCAGGCCGCGCCTGCGCACCACCCCCCAGAAAGACTCGCTGGAGTCGCCCGTCGCCCGGGGCAACACCCGGTCAATGGAGAGTGAGGGGCGCGCCCCGGGGCCCCAAGAACTCCGAGGGAGAGGGACGGGGAGTGGAAGACTACGGCGCACGCGCGCTAGTGCCCGAACGCGCGCCCCCAGGCCCGGTGCGCAGGCGCAGTGGCTGCCCCCTGCCCCGCCACACCCTGTCGACGCTCGCGCGCGGCGTCTGCTGCTGCGACAGCCGAGAAGGCCTCGGGGCTCGCGGGACGCTAGACCGAAAGGAGATGCTATCCCCGCCCGTCTGCTCGCCCGCCGCTCCCCTTACCTACCAGGACCCTTCGCTGCAGGGACACGCCAACAACCACCCAGGCGATTACGAACACGTCCACGACACAGCTCGGCCACCCGGCTGGCTCTGGTCTTCTTTGGCTTCGACGTCCTGACCGCGGCGTCCTGACGTCACGCGGCGGCCTCGCCCCGCCTCGCTCGGCCCTGCACAGCCAATGACCGCCACGAGCTACGCTTGAGCCCGCCCTCCCGCCCACGCACTTACGCATGAGCATTTTAAGGCAGGCCGGAAGTCTGGGTGGGGACGGTGGCCCCGAGGGGACAAGTGAGGCCGCATTAGCTGTTTTTGCCTCCCACGCAGCCCCGTTTTGTTGTTGTTCTCGTTCTTGGAGACAGAGTATTGCTCTTGCTCTGTCATCGCCCAGGATGGAGTGCAGTGGCGCGATCTCGGCTCACTGCAACCTCTGCCTCCCGGGTTCAAGCAATTCTCCTGCCTCAGCCTCCAAAGTAGCCGGGATTACAGGCGCGCGCCACTATACCTGGCTAATTTTTGTATATTTAGTAAAGACGGGGTTTCACCATGTTGGCCAGGCTGGTCTCGAACTCCTCACCTCGTGATCCGTCCGCCTCGGCCTCCCAAGTGCTGGGATTACGGGCGTGAGCCACCGCGCCCGGCCGCAACCTTGTTTTGACTGAGTCAGTGGGAGCCATTACTGTTCCTCCATGTACACTGGCGTGACAAGAGTTCCGGGGTTGTCCCCAGCACCGTGATGTGGAAGCCCTGGGGAGAGAATGATAAAGAAAGGGGGTGAGGAACAGCTCCCCCGGGAAGAGCGGGCTTCCCTAGTCAATGAATCTGGAAGGGCGCAGTGGAGGGGGCGCGGCGAGTTCAGATGGAGGGAGGCTGGAAGCTGGTTGGAGGGGGATGGGTGTCGCATTGGCAGGGGCGCTGGGGTGGAAGTGTGTGGGGTCACAGGTGTGTAAGGGTGGGCGTGGAGCGGACCCCCAAAGGTCACTGAGGTCAGGCTGAGACATTGGACCAAATCTGTACATAGGCATTTCTCTGAACTCCGCGCCACCTGTTTCCATCCAGGACTCGGATACAAATTATCCAGTCTGCTGCAGGGACCGGTCACTGTGTCACAGTAAGTGGTAGGATTTAAGAGGCAGTTTTCCTCCTTATTTTGTACCATTATGAATTTGTAGCTTGAAAAGCACATACCGTTTTCATAACTGTGTATTATTTTGTGAGTGCCAGCATAGATCTTTTTCCGTTATTTTACTGTGTGTGGGGCAGGGGTTGTTTTCGTTTGTTTTTGTTTGGGTTTTGTTTTTTGTTTTTTGTTTTTGTTTTGGTACCACACTTTTTGTTCCGGAATAATTTTGGATTTATTCAAAACCTTATCAAGGCCGGGCGTGGTGGCTCACACCTGTAATCCCAACACTTTGGGAGGCCGAGGTGGGTGGATCACCTGAGGTCAGGAGTTCAAGATAAGCCTGGCCTGGCCGACATGGTGCAGTCCTGTCTCTACTAAAAATACGAAAATTAACTGGGCGTGGTGACGCGTGCACCTGTAATCCCGGCTATTCGGGAGGGTGAGGCAGGAGAATCGCTTGAACCCAGGAGGCCGAGGTTGCAGTGAGCCGAGGCTACGCCACTGCACTCCAGCCTGGGCAACAAGAGTGAAACTCTTGTCTCAAAAAAAAGAAAAGTTGCAAAGATCATATGTAGTGCAGCGTATTTTATGCCGAGTTTCATCTGATGCTGTCATCAGAAGCATCAAAAGTGCTTTGTTGCAGATACTGACAGGATGTGTTAGTGTAACTAAACCCCAGACTTTACTGGGATTTCACCTTTTCCTCCAATGTTTTCTTTACATGCCAGAGTCCAAACCAGGACCCACACTCCATTTAGCTTTCTTTTACCTGTTGTATTTAGGGCGGGTTTCTTGTAGATAGCATGTAGTTGGATCTTGCTTTTTTTTTTCCCAAGCAAACAGTCTCTGCCTTTTAAAAGAGGTGTTTATAACTGTACTTTTATTTTTTATGTCTTATTCTTTTAGCATTCTGTAACAGACACAGCGATAAAATGAAATGACTGGAACTTAAATGTGAAAACTCTTTACAAGTAAGCCCACAATTAGATACATTTATCTTACGTGTCAGTTAAAAAAAAAAAAATTATGAAAACAGGACGAATTATATCACAAAAGAACCCCAAAATAGAAAAAATACCTAAGAAATGTGTCTAACCATGAAAAGTACTGTTCTCTTGGTGTCTTCCATGTACTTAAGTACAAAACATTGTTGCCTCTGATTAATGCACCCTGTACTTATTTTTCTGTTGTCCAGTTACATATTTGGTCGAATCCAGGGCTATGTTCATGTACCATCCAGGCAAACCAGCACCCCTCCCTTAATCCACTTCAGAATTTTACCCCAACTGTGTGATGATTTGCTCTAACAAGTCACTAGGGGGTTGCTTTTTTTTTAATCTATTATTTTATCTTTTTTTTTTTTTTTTGAGACTGCTCTGTCGCCCAGGCTGGAGTGCAGTAGCATGATGTCAGCGCACTGCAACCTCTGCCTCCCAGGTTCAAGCAATTCTTGTACCTCAGCCTCCCAGTAGCTGGGATTACAGGCATGCACCACCACACCCAGCTGATTTTTGTATTTTTAACAGAGATGGTTTCACAGTGTCGAGCAGGCGGGTCTCGAATTCCCAATCTCAGGTGACCCGCCCACCTCCGCCTCCCAAAGTGGTGGGATTACAGGCATGAGCCACTGCGCCTGTCCAGTAGGGCGTTGCTTCTGAACACTTATTTTAATAATCTTGGGTGGGCCAGGTGCGGTGGCTCATGCCTATAACCCTAGCACTTTGGGAGACTGAGGCAGGTGGATCACCTGAGGTCAGGAGTTCTAGACCAGCCTGGCCAACATGGCGAAACCCCGTCTCTACTAAAAATACAAAAAAAATTAGCCAGGCGTGGTGGCGCATGCCTGTAATCCCAGCTACTCCAGAGGCAGGAAACCTGAGTTGTAATCCCAGCTCTTTTACTTAACCAGCCGTATGAGTTGGAAAACTCATTATTTCCCTTCTCTTGGCTCCAGATTCCTCATCTTGCAGCTGGGATCCAGAGTTCTCACCCCAGGAGCCCAACCACAGCAAAAACCAAAACTACTTTTTTTTTTTTTTTTTTTTTTTTGAGACAGGGTCTCTCATTCTGTCACCCAGGCTGGAGTGCAGTGGCGTGATCTCGATCTCAGCTCACAGCAGCTTCAACCTCCCAGGCTCAAGTGATCCTCCTGCCTCAGCTACACAGTGTGATGGTATTTTGTTATAACAACCAGCATGTAGTTAAGACATTTATTGAAGGATGTCTTGGTTCCTTCCAAGTTTTTGGCAATGATCCATAAAGCTGCCATAAACATGCACGTGCAGCGTTCTTTGTGGGCACAGGTTTTCAGCCCATCTGTGTGAGTACTGGGGAGCACTGTTGCTGGTTTGTATTCTACCAGTATGTTTAGGATTATGACAGACTGCCACACTGTCCTCCAAAGTAGCTGTACCATTCTGCATTGCCAACACCAAGTAATGAGAGTTTCTGTTGCTCCACATTTCTGCCAGCATTTGGTGGTGCCAGCATTTTGGATTTGGCATTCTAATAGGTATGTAGTGGTGTCTTGTTTTTTTTTTTTTTTTTTTTTTTTTTGAAACAGAGTCTCGCTGTGTCTCCCAGACTGGAGTGCGGTGCAGTGGTGTGGTCTCAGCTCACTGTAACCTCCGCCTCCCGGGTTCAAGCGATTCTCCTGCCTCAGCTTCCCAAGTAGCTGGGGCTACAGGCATGTGCCACCACGCCTGGCTAATTTTTGTATTTTTAGTAGAAACGGGGTTTCACCATGTTGGCCAGGATGGTCTCGATCTCTTGACCTCGTGATCCACCTGCCTCAGCCTACAGGCGTGAGCCACCACACCCGACCAGTGGTGTCTTGTTTTAATGCGCAGTTCCCTAATGACATACGATGAACATCTTTTCCTGTGCTTATTTGCCATCTATATTAGGGTTCTCCAGAGGGCCAGAACTAACAGGATATATGTATATATTGAAAGGGAGTTCATTAGGGAGAATTGGCTCACACGGTCATCAGGCAAAGTCCCACCATAGGCCGTCTGCAAGCTGAGGAAGGAAGAAGCCAGTCATGTCTCCAAGTCCGAAAGCCTCAAAAGTAGGGAAGCCAATGGCCAGCCTTCAGTCTGTGGCAGAAGGCCCAAGAGTCCCCAACAAACCACTGGGAGACGTTCAGGAGTCCAAAGGCCAAAGAACCTGGAGTCTAATGTCCAAGGACAGAAAACATCCAGCACAGGAGAAAGACAAAAGCCAGACGACTCAGCAAGCCAGCCCCTCCTACCTTCTGCCTGTTTTATTCCAGCCACGCTGGCAGCCAACTGGATGGTGTCCACCCACACTGAGAGTGGGTCTTCCTCTCCCACTCCACTGACTCGAATGTCAGTCTCCGCTGGCAACACCTCACGGACACACCCAGAAACAATCCTTTTTTTTTTTTTTTTTTTTTTTTTTTTTGAGACAACATCTCACTCTTATCACCCCGGCTGGAGTGCACTGGCACCATCTCGGCTCACTCCAACATCCGCTTCCCGGGTTCAAGCAATTCTTCTGCCTCAGCCTCCTGAGTAGCTGGGATGACAGGCACGTGCCACCAGGTTCGGCTAATTTTTGTGTTTTTAGTAGAGATGGGGTTTCACCATATTGGCCAGGCTGGTCTCAAATTCCTGCCCACCTCAGCCTCCCGCAGTGCTGGGATTACAAGTGTAAGCCACCATGCCCGGCCTCTTTTCCTGTTTTTTAATCAGATTGTTTTCCTGTTAACTGAGTTTTCAGAGCCCTTTATATATCTTGGATAACAGTCCTTAATGAGATAGGTCTCTTGCAAATAGTTTATCCCAGGCCGCAGCTTGTTTTCTCATCATATTAAAAATGTTTTTCAAAGAGCAGAGGGTTTTTTCATTATTATTTTAATAAAGTCCAGCTTGTAAGTTTCTTTCATGGAGCACGCCTTTGATGTATCAAAAAATTTATCATGGCCGGACACTGGCTCACAGCTATAATCCCGGTATTTTGGGAGGCCGAGGTGGGCGGATCACTTGAGGCCAGGAGTTTGAGGCCAGCCTGGCCAACATGGCGAAACCCCATCTCTACTAAAAATACAAAAATTAGCCGGGCGTGGTAGCGCACAACTGTAATTCCAGCTACTCAGGAGGCTGAGGCGTGAGAATCACTTGAACCCAGGAGGCAGAGGTTGCGGTGAGCCAAGATTCTGCCAGTGTACTCCAGCCTGGTCAACAGAGTGAGACTCTTGTCTCAAAAAAAAAAAAAAAAAATTTGACAAAACCCAGTCATCTAGATTTTCTCCTAGGTTGTCTTCTAGGAGTTTTATAGTTTTGCGTTTAACATTCAGGTCTATGATCCATTTTGAATTAATTTTTGTGAAGAGACTAAGGTCTGTCTAGATTTTATTTATTTATTTATTTTTGGCATGTTGATGTCCACTTGTTCTAGCACCATTTATGGAGAGAGGTTTCAGCATTTTTATGATACTGTTCTTTTTCTTTTCTTTTTTTTTTTTTTTTTTTTTTTTTTTTTTTTTTTTTTTTTTTTTTTAAGACGGAGTCTCACTCTGTTGCCCAGGCTGGAGTGCAGTAGGTGCGATTCCGGCTCACTGCAAGCTCCACCTCCCAGGTTCAAGTGATTCTCCTGCCTCAGCCTCCTGAAGAGCTGGGATTACAGGCGCCCGCCACCACGCCTGGCTAATTTTTGTATTTTTAGTAGAGACGGGGTTTCACCGTGTTGGCCAGGCTGGTCTCAAACTCCTGACCTCAGGTTTTCGCCTGCCTCGGCCTCCCGTAGTGCTGGCATCACAAGCATGAATGACGGCGCCCCGGGGCCAACTTCTTGATAAATGATCACCCCCAGGCTCATTGTCATGGGAGATCAAGCAGCTGAATCTCAAAGTACTTTTCACCCACCAACAGTAACAGTCAGCGGTTGCCTGTGCTTGGGAAATGGGCTCAGGGGCACTAGAGGGCAGTGTTTGAGAGGAAAGAAGTCAGCATGGCACAGCAGGGCCGGACCCGGGGCAGACAGCCCACATGGTCAGGAAAAAGTGAGTGAACGGATGTGGCCCCCAGAACCCCTCCCTGAAATTGCAGTTGATTTTTATTCCCCACCTCAAGCCCACATATCCAAAGCTTTCTCTGAATGCTCCTTGCAGTGCACAAGATAGAAATGATTGACAGGCACAGAGCCGCGGCAGGCCCCACGCTGGACACCAGCGTCTGGCACCGTGGGTCACCAAGCACCAACCTGATCTCCTCGGAGCCAGGTGTGTGTTGGGATTCAGGATTTTTCCGTTTCAAAGGTAATATGATCTCTCCTCCACAGGGCACACGGCACCCTCAGTGCTCAGCACAGCAGTGGGCAGCATCCTGGTTCGCTTTTCTGCAGGGAAGTGTGTGAACGTTCACACCGAGCGGGGTCAGTCACGTCTGTAAGTCATCTCCCACCAACACAGGTCAGGTTTTCCCGCCCAATGAGCTTGGGGATGGCTTCACTTCGAAGCTCTTTGGATCTGTGGATTCTGGAATTTTGGATTTGTGATACCCATTTGATCAAAGAGGCAACCAAAGGCCAGGCGCGGTGGCTCACACCTGTAATCTCAACACTTGGGGAGGCCGAGGCGGGAGGATCCTGAGGTCAGGAGATCGAGACCATCCTGACTGACACGGTGAAACCCCGTCTCTACTAAAAATACAAAAAAAAAAATTAGCCGGGCATGGTGGCGGCGCCTGTAGTCCCAGCTACTTGGGAGTCTGAGGCAGGAGAATGGTGTGAACCCGGAAGGCGGAGCTTGCAGTGAGCCAAGATTGCGCCACTCACTCCAGCCTGGGCAACAGAGCGAGAGTCCGTCTCAAAAAAAAAAAAAAAGAGGCAACCAAGGTCTAACTGGTCAAGTGACTTTCCACATCCGTGAAGGTCGTGAGAAGCAGGACCAGGATGGTGGCCCAGCGGTGTCTTCAATGATAAGCTGGGCCCTTCACCTTGCAGGCCCCTCTCCGTCGGTCCACTCTGCGACTGCTGTCTGCCACACCCTGCCCTGATATCTCCTCTCTGCCAGGTTTCTCCCTCACATCCTCAACTCAGCCAAGAGCTGGTTTCTTCCAGAAAGAGCCCTGCTGTCAGGTGATTTATCAGACTTCTCTTTTTTTGGATGTTTGTTTTCAGGGTTTAGCTGATCAAAGTGGTATCGTTGTAACAGGCAGCTCTAAATATAAGTCTTCAGAGGCCTGTGTGTCTTTTTCTGTAAATCAATTCCCAAAAGCAGGATTGTTGGGGCATGGAGTGTATGCAGTGTTGATCTGATCACATACAAGCACATTTTTTTTTTTTTTCAAGGGATAGTGGCAGTTCGCAGCCTCAGGAGAAGTGTTTTGAGTGCCTGTTCCTCCAGATCCTTGCCCGCCCAGGACGTCACCACGCTTGTTAATTTTATTGTATCTGGGTAGTGAAAAAGAATAGTTTCTCATTCTTTCAAACTACATTTCCCAATTATTAGAGTTTCAATCTTTTTATCTGTTTACTGATGTTGGAATTTTTACTTTATTGAATATTCATCTCAGTTGATTACTTTTAAATGGGTTGTCTTTTTCTTAGTTTATGAAAGCTTTTGTAGATTATATCTGTTAAGAATAATATATTTAGATTATATCTTTTAAGAATAATATATTTCTGCATCACAACTGTTAACACATACACAGACACTCACACTCTCTCTCACTGTTCCCCAGTCTATCAATTTGCCATTTGACTTTACGGCATTTTTTTCAATGTATAATTTGTCAAATAAGCTATCTTTTCCTTTCTGGTTTTATGATCTCTTGCTGAAACTCCTCCCTCCCCACTTTCCCTACCCAGTTATACAACATGCAGACAACATACAAATATTCTCCTAATTTCTCTCTTTTTTTTTCCCCCAGAGATGGAGTCTCACTCAGTCACCCAGGCTGGAGTGCAGTGGGTGCAACCTCCGCCTCCTGGGTTCAAGCAATTCTCCTGCCTCAGCCTCCCGAGTAGCTGGGGTTACAGGCTTGTACCACCCCGCCCAGCTAATTTTGTTTGTTTGTTTGTTTAAGTAGAGACGAGGTTTCACTGTGTTGGCCACTCTGCTTTCAAACTCCTGGCCTCAAGGGATCCACCCACCTTGGCCTCCCAAAATGCTAGGATTACAGTCATGAGCCACCGCAGCCAGCCTCTCTCTGTTTTTTTGTCTTTTTTTTTTTTTTTTAAGAGACAGGGTCTTGCTCTGTTGCCCAGGCTGGAGTGCAGTGGCACGATCACAGCTCACTGTAGCCTCGAAGCAGGCTCAATCCAAGAGCCTCAGCCTCCCGCGTAGCTGGCACCACAGGCATGCACCACCATACCCACCCTCCTAATTTCTCTTGAAATTCTTCTGTGCCTTTACTTATACACATCCAGATCTTCCACCCATCTTATCTATAGAAGGTTTTGGCCAGATGGAGAGCCGATATGTCACTACTGCTGCTAAACCAACCATCCTTTCCACACTGACTTGAAATCTGTCTTCTGTCATGCGTGTATATATATATATATACACACACACACACACTTAGATCTATTTCTAGGCCATCTATTCTGTGCCAGAGATGTCTGTGTCTTCCTATGTCAGGACACGTATTACTTTTAGAATCAGAAGAAAGGGTTCTTTTTGTTTTTTGATTTTTTTTTTTTTTTTTAAAGAACAGTGTCTTTGGAGCCCCTGCTGAGCTGGACAGGCGCAGAAATTCCCGGCGGCTGGGAGGCCAGGGGAGAGAGGACAGCAGGGAGGATGTCACAGCCCCGAATCAAGGGAGAGGAGAAATAAGGAGGACCCAGCTGCTTGTAAAATAGTCTTCCCTTTTATTTTCAATCAACCCTTTTCCAAGTTAGTGCCACGAGTTGAGATCAGGGGGTCAGAGCCCACTGGGACGTGGCAGGGGCAGCAGGGGCACTCATGTCTCCCGCCCCCAGCTCAGTCCCTCCAAGGATGGGACCGGCAGCCAGGGACGAAGGGTGTGAGGCTGTCTGCGCCCTGCCCTGCCAGCCCTACTCCCTAGTCTGCCCCCTCAGCTACTCCCAAGGCCAAGGACAGGGAGGCGGTCCTGTGCGGGCTGTCCGTGGCCAAGGGTGTTAGTGGTCAGAGCCCAGGCAGGCTGGGTTAGTGGGGTCTCCTCCGGCAGCCAGGGAAGGAACTGCGGAGAGACGGAGAGACGGGGCAGTGATGCAGGTGGGGGGGCCTGCCCCGTGTGACCCACCCCGCAGGAAGCACGCAGCCCATGCCTGGAGCAGCTCGGAGGGCAGGAGGAGAGGGCAGAGGCCAGGCTGTAGGAGCTGGGGGTGTCCCTTGGAAGCTCACCGAAGAGGGGAGCCAGGGTCCAGTCCGGCAGGGAGGAGGGGCTCAGATAGACGACTGCCACTGCACAAAGCGCTTGGATTCCTGCTGGAAGATTCAGGGGAGAGGAGGGAATGGAGTGGGAATTGGTTTTGTACTGTGGGAGCCCTGCCCCTCCTCCCTCAGGCCTGAGTCCAGGCCCCCAGCCCCTCCTCCCTCAGACCCAGGAGTCCAGGCCCCCGGCCCCTCCTCGGCCTCACTCCCTCCAGACCCAGAGTCAGGCCGGCCCCTCCTCCCTCAGACCCAGGGAGCCAGGCCCGGCCTCTCCCTCAGACTCAGGGTCAGGCCCCAGCCTCTCCTCCCTCAGGCCTGAGTCAGGCCCCGGCCTCCTCCCTCAGACCCAGGAGTCAGGACTGCAGCCCCTCCTCCTCAGACCCAGGAGTGAGCTGACCTCCTCCCTCAGACCCAGGAGTCCAGGACTGCAGCCCTCCTCCTCAGTTCAGCATTCCAGGTCCCAGCCCCTCCTCCCTCAGACCCAGGAGTCCAGGACTGCAGCCCCTCCTCCACTCAGACCCAGGAGTCCAGGCCCCAGACCTCCTCCCTCAGGCCTGAGTCCAGGCCCCCACGCCCCTCCTCCCTCAGACCCGGGAGTCCCGGGACTGCAGCCCCTCCTCCTCCAGACCCAGGAGTCCAGAGCCCCCAGACCCTCCTCCTCGGGCCTGAGTCAGAGCCCCAGCCCTCTCCCTCAGACCCGGGGTCAGGACTGCAGCCCCTCGCCTCACACCTGGGAGTCCATGCCCCAACCCTCCTCCCTCAGGCCCAGGCATCCAAGTACCTGAGGGTTGAAAGGGTATCATCGTCTGTGTGCCCGTAGTCGTCACTGGGGTTTGATACGGGGCATAGCAGAGAGGCGGGATAGGACCATCAGAAGCTGCACCCCACCCACAACCATGGTCCCCAGGTGCTGCCCGCTCCCCAGGACCCTGCCACTCCCCACGCTCCTGACCTGGGTGGGAAGAGGCCAAGCCCAGGCAGGCTGCAAGTGGTGGCCAGTGCTCCTCAGGATCAACAGGGAGAAGAGCAACAGAAGAGCAGGCCCCAGGGTATCGCTGAGGCCCGCAAGAGTGCCGTAGTCCTGAGGGAGCGTCATCGGGCAGTGCCCCACCCCCCTCCCCACCAGCACACACTGTACACCAATCTGGCTGTCCTCCCAGCTGTGGTACTGCACACGTCAGCTGACTGCTCTGTGACTCAGTTTCCCCTGTCAAGGGCAGTTCTGAGAACACAGTGGGGTGGTTAATTCAGCGATAGGCCTGGCACTCAGGAATTAACTGCACAGGCTCCAGACTTGGCGTCTCTGAGCTACACACACCCCACCTCAACCCTGTGTCATTGCAGGCCCCGTCTCCCTTTCCATGGATCCTTCCCCACCAGCACCCCTCAGAACCAGTGTATCTCCCAGCCTGGCCTGGGCCTCTCCTCCATCCTTCATCTGCCCCTCCATTTCATGCCTCCCAGCAGCGGCACCCCCTGCAGGAGCATCCCTCTCCCGCACCAGCGCCCATGGTTAGCCACACCGCCAACTCCGCCTTGGCCCAGGGTGAAGGCTTCATCACCTAGGCCCTGCTGACTGTTCGAGCAGATCGTTCTCTGTGGTATTAGCACTGCCTATATGTTGTGGGGTGCCAGGCAACACCTCTCAGTTCCACCCACCAGATGCCAGGAGGAGCCCCTCCAGCAGTGTGGCAACCAACAGCAACTCTGCACCCAGCCAAGTGTCCATGGGGCTAGAGCACATGGAAGCGGCAGTTAAAGAACCAACAAGTGGCTCAGGATGACACCACACACGATACACTCAACACGCCAACAAATGCTGGCTCTGATGACTGTCATCCCAAGAAATCATGTGAAAGCGGCCCAGCCCCACCGAATGCTAAGCACACCACAGCTACAGCCATTCAGTGTAGGGGTTGACAAACCTACTCTGCTTGAGGCGCTGCCCCGGTACCAGGAAACCGGTAAACAGGACAGAAGGTCATCTCAGAGGGTGGTGTATTACCTTGAGGCTAGGAGGCGGGAGTCAGCCAGAGGTGAGGTGATGAGTGACCCAGCCCCTCCTCCCTCAGACCCAGGAGTCCAGGCCCCCGGCCCCTCCTCCCTCAGACCCAGGAGTCCAGGCCCCCGGCCCCTCCTCCCTCAGACTCAGGAGTCCAGGCCCCCAGCCTCTCCTCCCTCAGGCCTGAGTCCAGGCCCCCGGCTCCTCCTCCCTCAGACCCAGGAGTCCAGGACTGCAGCCCCTCCTCCCTCAGACCCAGGAGTCCAGGCCCCCGGCCCCTCCTCCCTCAGACCCAGGAGTCCAGGACTGCAGCCCCTCCTCCCTCAGACCCAGCAGTCCAGGTCCAGCCCCTCCTCCCTCAGACCCAGGAGTCCAGGACTGCAGCCCCTCCTCCCTCAGACCCAGGAGTCCAGGCCCCCAGACCCTCCTCCCTCAGGCCTGAGTCCAGGCCCCCAGCCCCTCCTCCCTCTAAATTGTGTATGCATATTTACACACATGTTTATGGAAGGAAACCATTTTGTAGGAAAATATTAATCAAGATATTTGTAGCAATTAATATTAGGTCAAGGAGTTTAAATGTCTCTTCATTTTTTGAGGTGTTTTTATCTGAATTTTTAAATTGAGTATGTGTCAGCCTTATAACTGAAAAAAAAATTTATTTATACCTAAGGGAAAAATAAAATAAATAAAGTGCCCCCTTGAAGGAGCTGAAGGTATTGGCTTAGGAAAGAACAGGCGGCTGGTGGCTCACGCCTGTAATCCAGCACTTTGGGAGGCCAAGGCAGGTGGATCATGAGGTCAGGAGATCGAAACTATCCTGGCTTATACCGTGAAACCCCATCT